AGCTTTGGGGCATCAGAGGCATCTAGGCACTGTGTTTCTAACTCTCAGAAGCTGGAAAAGAGTTTAACAAAGTTTCTTTTTAGTCAGGCTGGGAAACAAATTTCTAGCCAGCTCTCAAACTGGATATGTGTCAATAAATTACCTTTCCAAAGGGTAAGATATACAAAGTTTCTTTTAAAAATAGAGCTGTATTCAAAAAAAGACATTTAGAAGTGGTGTAAATGCTAAGGAATGAAGGAAAATAATACTAAGTATCATCACTATGGTTGCTGGAACATCAAATTTTATGCTATATATATAATTATATACAGGCTTTTCTCTATGTATTCATTAAAATGAATGAAAAATTACTGTTGGTTATTTCAGATAGAACTAGATGGCAAATGATAATATTTGTCATCTTTCTTGTAATAATTAATACTTGTGTTACAATAGGGTACTCACCTTCCACATCAAACTTTAAAGGAAACAGAGTAGAGTCCATGTAATTGAATGCACAGTAGAAACATACTACCTATAATTGCAAAACAGTGGAAATAACAAATGCCTAAACAATAGGGGAAAGAATGAAGTGTGATTACATAAACAACCTAAAATACTACCTACTAATTAAAAGGTAAATTTTATGATATAAGAAAATTCTGATACTCTGTTGAGAGAAAAGGCAAAAGATGTTTTTAAAATTACAAGTGATTATAACTACATAGAAATACCTAGTTCATAGATCTAAAAGATAGTAGACGTTTTGGCTGTTCCAGCATCCCAGCGCTACCCTAAAGGGGAGGCTGCCACGCACATGCTCACTTTCTGCTCCAGCCCAGTCTTGAAATAATTTGAGTCTATCTGCTTCTCAGGTCTGATTATTTTCTTCACCTGTCCAACTATTAGCTTTATTATTTCTGTTTCTGTCCTTTTCTTGCACTCTGTCATTTTTACACATGACTCATAGCCCGTAGATATTAACAGCCTTGATTTCCCCAGCTTCAACCCACCATTTGGGAAAACTTTTTTCTATAGCTGTCCTATCCCACCTGAATGCATCAGGTCTTACAGAGTCCTCAAAATATGTAAAATGGAAACTTTAGTATTCTAGGGTCTTAGGATGATGTGTAATAATTATTTTTCTTCTTTCCAAACTTTCCTTTTTCCGAAACCATTGCAGTGAACGTTTTAAAAGACAATTAACTCTAACCTTTCTCTCATCTCTGCCTAGAGTGACACCTAGTGGTTATTCTGTAGAATCGCACTTTTAAGCCTCAACAACAATGAAAAGATGCTGCTTTATTATTTCACTAGCAGGTTTGTGTTTATAATGTAGCAGTACAGTGTGTATGCGAGGCTGTAATCTACCTGGAAAAAAAGGTCATCTCATGTAGTTAGCTGGTCCAGAAATTATACAGCCCCTGTAGATATTCCCTTATACACCTGGGGCTCATACTTAATTCCTCACAGGATTCCAGGTATATTTTAATTTCCTAATACCAGATCTACTCCAGAAAGTAATTCTTACACAGTGAGAATTTGCATCTACTGCTGGATCTTGATGTCTCTGGATACTATAGGGCGTCCTGTAAATTTTCACCACTGTATTAGTTTCCTCGGGCTGCCGTAAGAGAGCCCCATTTGCTGGGTGGCTTAAACAACAACCTGGGTTATCTCACAGTTTTAGAGGCTAGAAGTCCAAGATCAGGGTGTTGCCAGGGTCGGTTCCTTCTGAGGGATGTGAGGAGGGATCTGTTCATAGCTTCTTGTAGTTGGCAGGCAATCCGTGGCCTTCCTTGACTTGTAGAGGCATCACCTTGATCTTGGCCTTCATCTTCATGTAGCGTCTTGCTGTGTACCAGTCTGTCTCTGCATTTCCCCTTTTTATAAGGACAGCAGAAATACTGGACTAGGGCCCATACTAACAACCTTAATAATTACATCTGCCGTTAAGCTATTTCTTAATAATGTCATACACTCATGTACTAGATGAAATCTAAAATTCATATGACTTCAACATATGAACTAGGGGACACAATTCAGTCCATAACAAGCACCTATCTCATTATGCCTCTGTACTTCATTTTTGCCATTGCAGTCTCAGGTCAGCCATGGAATTGCTTTGCCCATAAGATTAGAGGTGATGTGTGTACATCTAAGTAGAAACTAATAATTTTTCCCCTCTTCCATGAAACTGACAGTGTTCCAGATAAAGTCTATTTCATCAGCCTATGTCAGAGTGACTGCCATGGAAAGAGTAGCAGCTGACCTTCAGTGGATACGTAGCATAAAAAAGAAACAAACTCATGATTGGAAGCCATCAAGGCTAACTGACAAAATAAGCTCACTCCTAATGTGTGGGGTTTTTTTCATTTATTCATCAGACATTTGTTGAAAACTTGCTATGTAGTAGACATGGTGCTATGTGTTAGACACTGTGATGGTTGATTTTATGTGTCAGCTTGGCTAGGCCATGATACCAAGATATTTGGTCAAACACTAGATGTCTCTGTGAAGGTATGTTTCAGATGAGATTAACATTTAAATCAGTAGACTTTTAAGTAAAGCAAATTTCCCTTCATAATACAATGGGCCTGATCCAGTCAGCTGCAAGCCTTAAGAGAAAAAAGACTGAGGCTCCCCTAGGAAGAGGGAATTCGGCCTCCAGACTGTCTTCAGACTTGAGCTGCAACATCAACTCTTCCTTGGATCTCCAGCCTGCTGGACTGCTCTGAAGGTTTCAAACTTGCCAGCCCCCACATACCGCATGAGATAGTTCCTTAAAATTAGTCACTATATATATGTACATCCTATTGGTTCTTTTTCTCTGGAGAAACTTGATTAATACAGTCAGTTAGCAAACAAGATAGAAAGAGTCCTCATAGAGCTTACAGTCTAAGAAAGGATACATACAAGTAAACAGAAAAATAACAAAGTTATGTAATAAATGCTGCAAAGTACTCCATATAATAGGTGCCCATGGAGGAGCACCCAGCCTTGACCGGAAGAGCCAGGGAGGGCGCCCTGGAGAAATTGTGGTCTAACTTGAGACCTGAAGGTGACAGGGCAGACTAAGAGTTAGCAGATTGTAGGGACAGTGTGGTGGAGCCCAGGGGTTAGACTGACTATAGAACATGAATTCTCATCGGGGCATTATTGCTCCCAAAGAGGAAAAAATTGGTGATTGACAGGTGAAATAAACATTAGCTATTACAGTGTTTGGTGACCATGCACAGCTCAATCAATCCTATCTGACAAAATCTTATTCCTTACTATTTACTGGGAAAGTAGGGAAGATGATTAGAAGAAAATGTCTAAAATGAAGGCAGTGATGAAAAAGAGGTTAAGAAACAGTAGCATGGAAAGACCATCCCGGTTGAGAAATGATCTCATTTGAAGCTACAGAAGTGAGAGAGACATAGAATATTTGAAATATGAGAATGGTTGAAGCATAGAGTTGGGGAGGAGCAGAAGCTGTTCCAAACACAGATTTTAAAGAAAATTAAATCTGAAAATGCATTTTGACCTCAATCGTCTAAATATTTTAAATAAAACTGGACTTTGTGTCTTAATAATTGGCAGCAGACTGCTCACATTTTTATGTGTGAAATCTGCCCTTGGTGTTGGTAGTCCCATGCTGAATGAGTCATTAAGTTTTAAACATTTTTCAGAGATGGCAAAGGACAATTGTTAAGTATCTTTTTCTATCTATCATTTTGGGGTATTTTAGTTTTATGATTGTAGCTTCTAGAATAGCATCATGTTCAGGTAGGTACTTAATCATATTGCTGTTCTGGAAGGCACATTAACCTCTGGAGAATTTGTGTGTGATTTACTTCACTGGAGTTTCAAACATGAAAAATATGAAAGAAAGAAGATATTTTTCTTAGGAATAGAATGAGAACAATGGTCTATTTAATAACCGTTATCACTATCTTCCTCCCAAATTGCATTAAAATTACTTTAATATGCTATAAGGAAAATCTTTGCAAATATGCTGCCGATCACTTTTTGTTTTTTTCCATCAGCTTGTTAACAATGAGCTCAAAGCTAATTGAGTGCTTTTGAGAGATAATACAAACTCAATTTTAGAATCTGAAGAACTAAAAAATTGTATGCTGTACTATAATTGAAACTTTTAATAATTTTCTATCACAGCCATAGCTTGATTGATATACATAGACCTCATCTAAATGTCTAAATACTTTTTTAAGGGACAGCATTCTAGTAATGTTTTTTTGTAAGGTCTTGTTACAGAGAAGACAGTATATGTAAATAGTTCTGAGTATGTGTTCAGGAGTTAGACTACTTTGGTTCAGATCCTGAGCTGCATCTGTTTGGGTTTAAATGTCACCAGCTTTTGTAAACTTGGGCAAATGTATATGAAGTTCTGTGATTTCATCCTCTCTGAACCTCTCCTCATATGTAAATGATGGTTAATAATAGAACTACTGCATAGGATTGTTGTGAATACTAAATGAGTTAATCATGTAAAACATTTAGAACACTGCCTGGCACACACTCAGTGCTTGATAATGATAGCTATTATTATTATTATTTAGAATTCCTTATTGAGTAGTTTCCAAACCATTTGTTGAGTGCATTTCTTGTATAGATGCCATACAAGACACTTGTGAAACTGTTAGTACATCTTACCTAAAGTGACTTTCAGGGCATGAGTTAAGATATTTTTTTTAAGTCACTATTTTAGTATCATTATTGCTGTCTTTAATACATTTCAGGCTTTTGAATTGATTTATTTTTTAGACTAGGATGAGATCTTTTTCTTATGTGAGAAGATACATATCTAAGGATCATAGGAAAAAGCACCCCTTAGGGCAGTAGGTGGGAGATGAATTCCTCTTCAGCATTTTGTATTAGACTCTAGAATTTTTCTTTATGGTACTGCATTTTCCATGGTAACAGTAGGAAAAAAAGAAGAGTTACCCATGATTTCCTGGCATTTTAAAATTTTTATTAAGAAATTTAAAAAACCTTTCATTATTTATATCTTTCAGAAAATGTCTTTGAAATTCAAAAATGCAAAACGAATCGAAGGCCTTGGTACTAGTGTGTGGTGAGTACCTTAAAATAAACAACAGTAATTTGGTGAGGGTTTTTCCCACACATTTTTATATCCTTAGTGAGGATTTTTAGTATTATCTATAGTCTGTAAATAAAGCTATGAATTTTAATTCATCCATTAAATGGAAATGGGAGTAAGTTAACAATCCATATGTTGATTAATTCATTCAGCAAATGTGCCCAGCCCTGTACACTAACCACTGGAGATGGGCAGAGAAAAGGGCAAATTTGGTTGAGGCCTTCATGAAATTTACATTCTAATCCATGAACATTTCTCATGACTCCTAATGACTCTATCAAAGTCTAATGTTTGATAAGAGAACCTCTCAGTGGTAGTATGGTTAAGAAAAAACATACATGATTGTCACGGAACTGACATTTGTAAGAAACATGAAGTTCATTAGTTCATTATCTTATTACTAGGTAAAGTCATATAAATGGTGAAATTTTTGTTGGGAACTCGTTATTGTTTTAAATCCATAAGGCTAAAGGAGGTCTCATTTTTTAGTTTTATAATAAGACTATGAGGTATAAAAAGTGATCTTTGTAATTATAGTACTAGTATTTTTTTTATCTTAGGACTGAATTTACCAAGTTGGCCGCAGAACCCTCTGTTGTGAATCTTGGCCAAGGCCTTCCAGATATATCCCCTCCTATATATGTAAAGGAAGAATTATCAAAGATTGCAGCAATTGATAGCCTGAATCAGTATACTCGGGGCTTTGTAAGTATGTGAGGACCTTCCGGGCATGAGACTGTATGTGTGTGAGTGTACTTCTGCTACTTCTATATAAATTGGCTTTCTGGGAACAACTATCCCAACCCAGTAACTAGAAGAATGCTTACCCTTTCAGAAAAAAACCTTGCCCCTGTTGCCTGGGAGCCATCCCCCACTTCCAGCCTTTCTACAGTCCTGTCTTGGCCCTTATTTTACTGTTGTTCTGGGATGGGGTCCTATGGCAACAGGGGAGAATATTCAAGAATGTTCTCTTAAGACGTGTGTTTTCTCTTGCGTTAACACTTACAAAGCCTCAGCACTGGCCTCTTAATTAATATCCTCTGTTTCCAACTAGTTACTTTGTTCCTCTCTACCTCAACCCAAACCCCAACTGTGATGAAATGCCTGGGATATCCAGAGATTTTGTAGATTCCACAAAAAAACTACCACAACTTACTAAGTGACTTGAGCAAGGTTGCAGGACATAAAGCCAATATACAAAAACCAGTTGTGTTTAGGTGGTCTGTTGGTTGGCATAACCTTCTCTTCTGCAACTTGAACAGATTCAGGGGATTTCAGTTCATGCAGGTTTTTTAGTTTCTTTTAACTGGGGAAAAAAAAAATCCAACTCTACTCAATATGATTTAATTATTGTCAAAAATAAAGTAATTGAATGTGATTTCCTTACTGTCAAAAAATGTATTGTCAAAGATATATGTGGTATTCAAGTCAACTTTTATTCAAAACAAATGCCTTGAAATTTTGTATTCCAAAACCAATCATTTAATAGGAGGTTTTTAGTCATTAGAAAGTCTTCATGACCATTCAAGTAGGAACCCTCTGAAAGTAGGGGGAAACATTTTTTAAAATTATTTCCATTAAAAAAAAATACAACTTTTCTTTGGATAATTATAAGACCCAGTTTTTAAAAATTCTTTCATTTTTAGATCCAAATTATCTCCAAGAAGCATGTCCCATAATTGAATTCAAGGTTTTCTCTTCTTTCTTATTCAACAGGGTCATCCATCACTTGTGAAAGCCCTGTCCTGCCTATATGGAAAAATTTGTCAAAAGCAAATCGATCCAAATGAAGAAATCCTTGTAACAGTAGGAGCATATGGATCTCTTTTTAACTCCATCCAAGGATTAATTGATGAGGGAGATGAAGTAAGTATATTAACATTATCAGGTTACCTGTGTCAGTCATTATCATTTGTCCTGCTTTTGCATCTTTTACTTATCTTACACTCTTTTTTTATTGTTATTTTTGAAGTATAATGCATATGTAGTAAAAATTTACAAATCTTAAGTGTACACCTCGATAAATTTTTGTGAGTATATGTAGTTTAGTTATTTATTTGTAACCACAAACCAGAAGAAGATATAGTACATTTCCTGGACCCCACAGGCTCCTTTTTTGCCCCTTCCTAGTCTATATCCTCCCAGAGGTAACTACTCTTCAGTCTTCTATCAGCGTAGGTTCATTTTACTTGCTCTTTAATTTGATACAAGTGGAGTCACACCATGTGTACTCTTGAATCTGGTGTCTTTCATCCTTATGTCTTGAGAGATCCATTGTGTGTAGTTCATTCTTATTTTTACAGCCTGTTTAGATAAGGGTAGGTAGAAGGGACTAGAAATGACAGGGAATATAAATCTTCAGTTTTCACTGCTAAAATAACCTTTCATCTGAACTCAGTCAGCAAGTATGTGGTCAATGTGTTTTTGCGCCCGGTGTTGTTAGCACTGTATGAGGGCTGTGTAACAAGAAGGTTGAGTGATTTCTGCTATTTAGTACAGTGACCCACTTTGGCACCCAACTCAGTTAGCTCTGCCTCTACTACCCCTCTACCATTCCAATAGCCCTGCATCCATGTTTCCTGATCTTTCATTTATTCAGAAATTATTGAGGATCTCCTGTATGCTAGGCAATGTGAGAGAGAAGATTTTTAAAAGACAGTCTCCTCATGGAAGGAGCTCCCTGTCTGCTAGAAGAGAGAGACTTATAAACAGATGATCAGGAGCAGAAGGCAGTTGACAGTAGTGGAGGATGTGTCAGTTATGGGGGTGACAACAGGAAGAAGTGGCCAAGTCTGCTAATGCAGGTCTGGAACGTGCCAGAGGTGTAAGCTGGGTCTGAAGAATGAATATTTACCCTGACCTGAACTGTTAATTCCCTTCTTTGAACTGTCCTGGCATTTTATCTGTAAAAGATACCACTATCACTTTGTGATATGTTGCTCTTTCATATCTCTGGCCTCCTCTTCTATGCCAGGCCGTAGGCTACTTAAGGAAGTACAGGTATACTTTCATATACATCATCTCCATCAATCCTGTAGAAAGGTTAGGAGTTCTACCTCATACTTTGATGTTCTCGATGCCTTGCTTCTTCCTCCTCCTCTGCACTCCGTTGGAATTTCCCAAGGCTTAGTCCTTGGCTTTCTCTATTTCTTCTTTCCTGATCACCTGATCTAATATTTTGAAACCACGCACATGTCATTTTCTATCATACTAACCTACTTTATTTTCTCTATAGCATTTATTACTATCTGAGATCATCTAACTCACTTCCTTGTTTTCTACTCTTTCAGCAGAATGTCAGTTCCAGGAATTTGTTTATTGCTTTACTGCCAGCATCTAAAATCCTGCTAGCTCAATAAATACCTGTCAAAAAGAAAGGGGAATTATTCCCATTATGAAAATAAGGAAATTACAACAGAGTGACAAGTATATTCTTTCAATTTTACTTCCCATCCTCTCCAGTTTATTTTCCTTTATTGAGTTCATATCAGGCACGATGTTTCTCACCAGAGTTACACAGATAGGTCATCTTAGTCCCTGAGAATTTCACAGAGTAATTAGGAACTTACAGTCTACTTGAGGAAAAAAATCCACTCTTCGTTCATTTCTTTGTCCTCCACAGTCCCTGACACCTAACATAGCACATTGTGTAGTAGGCACCCAATGCAAGTTAAATGACTAGTACAAATAAATGGGTTTTAGAATGGAAGGGCCTCATGTGGCTCCAGTGAGAAAAGCCTTGAACAGGTATTTCACATTGTAAGAATTACAAACAGTAAGAAAATGCAGTCTTTTTTTGTAATTAGATATTAATTTAGCCAACAAAGTTAAATGAGACAACTTAGTATAGACTTTTGAAATTAGAAATTGTTACCCGATATTTCAAAAGCAACTTGGCTATATATCCTTTAAAAATGTTTATACCCTTTAATCTAGTGATACAATCACATGAATTTATAGAGTGAACTATCTAGAAATAGAGAAATTACATATATTCACAAATGAACATAGCATTGTTATTTATATAAACAAATGACAAGAAAATTATTCTAGAATTCTTTAGACTCAAATAGCCATGAAAATCATAAATACTAAAACCATAATACTATGAAGTTTTCATGAAATATTGCTAGGTTTCAAAAAGACAGAAAAGTTGAATATAGACGATGGTTCTAAATGATGTAAATTTGAGTAAGTTAAAATTTTCCTTACAAAAAAGCAAAAAGTCCGGGATACTGGATCCAGGCTGGTGAATTGTGGGAGGGAGATCAACTGGACTGGTTGGACTGAGCCACTGACCTAAAAGCCAGTCCACAGGTGATTAAGAGAGAGCATGTAGGGGCAAAGGGTCTGTGAGTACCTGCCAAGGGGCTAAGAAGAAAGGACAGAATCCAAGTATAAGTCATCTGAAGGGAAACTGCGGGTATCAGACAATAACAATAGCATCCTAACTGGTCTCCCTGCATCCACTCTTTGTTTTGATTTTTGTTTTGTTTTGGGGATGCTTTTGAGAAAAGAGAAATATCTTCACTCTCAGGATAATACTTATAAATTATTACTTCATAATAGAGAGCATGGCAGTGTTCTCTTTCCTTATAGCCTTGCTCCTGCCACTCTCTAATATTTTATTTTCTAATTTGAAATGTAAAGAAACTGTGAATGTGTTTGGCTGGAACATGCCTTTGAGAATGTGATAAAGGCTACGGCCGCGCTCCCCAGAAAAATCTACTTAGTCATACAGTTCCAGGGTCCCCACTGCAGGCCCACCCAAGAGCTCCCACAGAGACCAAGGATTCCAGTGAAGCTCCCTGGATGAGTTCATCCCTGCGGTCACTTCCACTTAGACGTCAGCCCCATGAAGGAAAGGCCTGCCTTATTCATTGCTGCATCTCACATGTGCTATAGTGCCTCACACGTAGTAGGTACACAATATTTGTTAAATGAATTAATAATTAATGTGTTCTTATTTTATTTTATTTCAGGTCATAATAATGGTGCCTTTCTATGACTGCTATGAGCCCATGGTGAGAATGGCTGGAGCAACACCTGTTTTTATTACCCTAAAATCTGTAAGTGTGCCAGGATGATTCACTTGCTTTGAGAAGTTTTGAACATACCAATTACTTTGTCATTGATAAAGTTCCTACTTTAATTACATTGAGGGATTTACTATTTATCTCTACTATGACTAAAGATAATCAACAACTTTAAGAGGGGAACTTTTATAAGTTATCATGTGTTTGCCATGTGTCTATCTCTGTTATATCAGCATCCACATCATATATGATATTCTCTTTTGTGGTTATACATAGAAATAGTTATTTCTAGTTATTTATATTTTATATCTTCCCCCACTGACATAAGCACCACCAGGTCAGAGACCATTTCTGTGTCACTTTTACAGCACTGCTTCCTACTGACTAACAGGATAAGGTATATGCTGAGTGCTTAATAAATGCTTGCTGAATTCTAAACAAAGCAATTTTTAAAAATTCTGCTAGAATTATAATAATATAATAATATAATAAAGTCTGCTTAGAAACATAATTAAGTATAGCTACATGTAAGAGAATGCTAAAGAAGAAATTCAGATGGTCAACAGGCACATGAAAAGATGTTCCACATCTCTAATCATCAGGGAAATGCAAATAAAAACCACAATGAGATACCACCTCACACCAGTTAGCATGGCCAACATCAAAAAGACTAGGAACAACAAATGTTAGTGAGTATGTGGAGAAAGGGAAACCTTCCTACACTACTGGTGAGAATGTAAATTAGTTCAACCATTGTGGAAAGCAGTATGGAGGTTCCTCAAAAAACTCAAAATAGAAATACCATTTGACCCGGTAATTCCATGCCTAGGAATTTACCCAAAGAAAACAAGTTCTCAGACTCAAAAAGACATATGCATCCCTATATTTACTGCAGCACTATTTACAATTGCCAAGATATGGAAGCAACCTAAGTGTCCATCAGTAGATGAATGGACAAAGAAGATGGGGTGCATATACACAATGGAATACTATTCAGCCATAAAAAGAATACAAATCCTACTATTTGGAACAATGTGGGTGGAGCTAGAGGGTATTATATTGTCAGTGAAATAAGCCAGGCAGAGAAAGACAAGTACCAAATGATTTCCCTCATTTGGGGAATACAACAACGAAGCAAAACTGAAGTAACAAAAGAGTTGCAGACTCAGAGACTCCAAGAAGGGACTAGCAGTTACCAAAGGGGAGGGGTGGGGAAGGGTGGGTGGGGAGGGAGGGAGAAGGGTATTGAGGGGCATTATGATTAGTACATATGGTGTAGGGGTGGGGATCATGGGGAAAACAGCGTAGACAGAGAAGAGAAGTAGTGACTTTGTGGCATCTTACTGCACTGATGGACAGTGACTTCAGTGGGTTATGGGGGGGACTTGATAATATGGGTGAATGTAGTAACCACATTGTCTCTCATGCGAAACTTTCATAAGAGTATATATCAATGATATCTTAAAAAAAAAGAAAATACAAACCACAAAAAAAAGAGAGAAATATAATAAAGTATATTAACATTGTCTTTTTAAAAATCTTATCAAAATAAATAATACACTAGGGTGAATCACAGAATCTTCTATTAGCCTTAGAGTATCATCCATGTTACATGGTTAACTTTGTTAACATAGTTATAGCTGGCTCCTTTGAAGGAATATAAATACTAACAGCTGTGAACGTTGACAGACTTCACTTTTCCATTTAACAGATGTGAACACAAGACACAAGTCCTCTTGGGCTCATAAGACAGAACTAAAGCTTAGTTGCTTCTACTTACTTTCTTTGCTAGTCATTTTTCAGTTACCTTTGCCATGCCTTTCTCTAGTTTTTTTTTCCTCATTAGGTTACTTATTTGTAGGATAGCAAACATGAATTAATTGAATTAAATCACATCTTCATTCTTCATGCTTAGAAACCTATTGATGGGAAAAAACGGTCTAGTTCTGACTGGATATTGGATCCTCAAGAACTGGCAAGTAAATTTAATTCCAAAACCAAAGCTATTATACTAAATACTCCACATAACCCCATTGGCAAGGTGAGTCTTTGATCTCTTTATACAGTCTTCTGACCCACCATTTTCTGACGTTTCAAATCATGATTGGCTCTGCTCTTCTGTTTCCTTTAACATGTGCAGGTGTATTCCAGAGAAGAACTACAAGTGATTGCTGACCTTTGCATCAAGTATGACACACTGTGCATTAGTGATGAGGTCTATGAATGGCTTGTATATACTGGAAATAAGCATTTAAAAATAGGTACTGATTATTCTGTAGAGTCACAAGTCTTAGTGTTTATGGGCATATGGGGAGCAACTGATTGGAAAGGATCCCAGAACAGCTTTCACATAGTCTTTGTAATGGGTACCTATTTGTATGAGCACCTAAAAATGGGATGTGAATGATGGATGCTTGAGGGAATTAGTACACAGATTAAAGGACAAATGGTACAAACTTACAGGAAGAGATTTTGGACCACACCATAAAGCTGCAAAACATGCTTGGTTTTTTATCAAGAATCCAGCTGTTACTTAGTGCATATGACACAGGGAGCTTACTTGTTCCTGACCTGGACTGTCTCTACTGAACAGGTTGCCAAAACACCAGGTCATAGGCAAAAACTACAGGTACACAGTAAGCTACTGCTGGTTGGCCCTTGCCTGGGATCTCACCATCACTACTGGACTATCTCACAACCGCCATGGTGTTTCCCTGGGAAATCCAAACTTGTATCAATTAGAGGATTATAAACTGGGCTGCCACCTTTGGGTCCTTGCACTTGCCCTCCTTATGCCTAGAAATACTTTTCCTCCAGATAGCTACATGGCTCAGTCTCTCACCTGCCCCAGGTCTTTGTCCAGGTGTCAGTTTTTAGAACCATGATGTTGAAGACAGTTACACCTCTCCTTCCAGCATTTGCTTTGTCCTTTTCTGTTGTTTTTTCTTTATAACAAATATCATGGTCTATACATTTTACTTCTAACTTGCAAGAAGATATAGACATTTTTGTTGGTTTTGGTCCCTTCTGAGTCCAGAACAGGGTCCTGCATGTGATAGATGATCAGAAAGTGATTGTTGAATGAGTGATAGGAAGTATGGAAAGAATAGGGGCAGGATAACTAAAAATCACTGGGCAGAAACTAATAAATAAAACATGATTTATGTTGTATTTAAAGAGCTGTTGCATTTACCATAATTACCCCTGTGGTACCTTACAAATTAGAGCAGAGATAAGGAAGAAAAAGCAACTGGTTTAGGGCATCAACAGAGGAGTGATCAAAAGATGGAATTTGTTAGGTAGAGAAGAGAAAGAAAATGCCTATCAGGTAAACTAACATGGAATGAGGAAAGGAGCACAGAAGATCAAGATATAAAGAAAGGTAAGTGGATTGTAGGTGTGTTATACTAACTAGCACAGGTGAGAGTGGAAAAATAGGATGATTCTGAAGGGCTCTGAATATGAGAAAAAAGAGTCTGAACTTTGCTGAATCAGTGGTTCTTAAATTTACTTTAGTGGTAGAGTACCTTGAAGCCACAATGTTTATATCATAAAATAGTGATATATTGCACTCCATCCTGAAACTGGAAGCAATTTTTCTAACAGAAATTCAATATAAAATATTGAATTCTGCACACATCTGTCTGTAACAAAGAGCTATTGTAATAAACACATCTGAGTTTTTCTGATTTCACCATGGATGTTCATTTACTAAATGCTCATTTGTTTCACTGTTGGTAGCACTCACTATCAGATAAGTCATAGCATTGATTATCCTAAATGCTTAAGAAACTTTAGTGGCTTAAGAAAATTTTGTGGAAGAAAACTTCAAATTGATTTGTTAAAAGAAAAATTCTCATATTAATTTAATCACCTGAGTACCAGTGACCATACTTTAAGAGCTACTGTAAAAGGTGTGACAAGTCGGAGGACTTGGTTACGTGATGGGATTTGTTTAAAAAGGTAAGAACTAGTCACAGGTGAGAATCTTGAGCAAATCAGACGCCTAGCCATGTAGATGATGCATGGGGGCCATTTAGAAGTAGAAAATCAGTGCACAGAGTATAGCATTTGAAGGTGAGAAGGAAAGGAATAAGCAAGTAGGGTTCTAAGATCTCTAGCCTAGACCACTCACCAGAGATGGCGATGTGGAGAGGAGGAGCAGACCTGCTGGGAAGAGCTGAGCAGAGGAAATTCCTGCTTCTCGTGCTTTGGTCTTGCTAAGTTTCAGTGTCTGTGAGACACAGAGGAGATGTCTGGAGACTGGAGTCATAGGCCTGATGGTCAGGGATGAATTATGAAGGGATACATTTTTGGCAGTCATCACCATTTTGTTGATAGGAGAACCCATGGAAGAGAATGAATTTTCCCAGGGAGAATGTATAAACAGAGAAGGCCAGAGATTGCAAGGTGTGTTGCCTTAATACAGGAACCTGTTGTTATATGTCAGAATTGCAGCAGAGTTCACCTTTTCCTGTCTAGTGGATGACTGCTGCCTCAGGTCATCAGACTATTCCCCAGGAGAAAATGAGACCGACATAGGCAATTAATTTTTTTGGTAATTTTTTTGGATTACGTAGAGAGAGGAAGGACATCTAATGAATATAATTTGAGACTCAACATAAAACGTGTCTATGTCTATGCAATAATGACTCAAAGCTCTAGAGTTTTAGTTAATTCAGTTTAGCAATATCATTTCCAAAGGATTACTTTCAGTTATCTTGAAATTTATTGTTTAAACCTTCAAACCTTATATTGTAAACCCTGAATGATAAAAGTGATAATATTACTTGCTAAAATATATTTTAAAATCTGAGTTTAAAACAAGAAAAAGTGAATTAACTATTTCATCATTTAGAGAGTACAGTTTGGTTGCATGAAAACTTAGATATTCTGTCAAATACAGTGGCCTTTGTTACATGAAAGATGCAAAATGGCTGTTCCATCAATTTGTGGAGTGAAATAGTCGTTCTATAATGTAATTCAACAAGGCTTTCTAGCCATACATCATGAAATTAGCATCATCTTCAGGTTGTCACAGAGGCAGTTTTCCCTGGTGTAGTACTCTTCGTCACTTGTCTAATCTTTATCTGACTTGTATTGAGGCCTAGTTTGCCTATAAATAACTGTTGTAGCTGCTGTGACTGATTTAAGGGTCACGGGAAGTTACCAGTTGTCTTTCAAATACAACTGCAAGCTAAACTTAACCAATACTGGGTATAGTTTTTAAAAATCATCAGACCTGCATAGATTTCTTTTCTCCCCATAGATTACTACATTCATACTCAATGCTGTGGTCATCTGTTCTGCCTGTCTGTTTACATTAACTTCTGTGGCTCTCCAAATCTCCGAGATTGAGAAGACATGACCATGTAAATGATTTAAAAAACACGTGAGGCCCTTTTTACTGAAATGTAGAATTTGGTCTTATTGGATCAAATTCTTGATTCAAATGATATCTCCACATTTCAGTAAAATGATGATTCAGTCAACAAAAGAATGCTGGTATTTATATAACAACCACTGATATTTGGCAAATTAATATAAATTCCTTGTAAGTTATTTAGCTGATTAGCTTACTCTTTGAAAAAACAACATCCACTTTTATATGGCTAAAAACAAATTATTTAGGTCTCCTTTTAAATAATGTAGTTAGATTTAATATCTTGTGATTGAAACCTGTATTTGACTCGTGAGCAGTTTGGTTTTCTTTGTATATAACTTATAGTGAAAACACATTTGGGTTGTATTAGTTTCCATGGGTAATTCTTATTTCCAAAGAATTTATTTCTAAATATTGTTCTTGCTAATAGGCCTTCCTGATTTTGGATATTTGACAGTAGTGATACTCTGCATTATATATAGTTTACATTTTCTCTGGTCAAATAGGAAAGTGGGACATGTGTCATGGTGTTGAAATACTAAATGTCTCCAAACTTGAAGGAATATAATTATTTATATCAAATGTTAGAATACCCCTTTTTTGAATGGACCCTTTAAATATTTTCTTCATTTATCTTTTTGGTTTTTGTTATATCTATAGAGAATGCAATTATGACTTTTCTGATTTATATAGTGTTCCTCCCTTTACAAATATTGTCAAGTATTTCTTGATAGACCAAAATTATGTATGCATCCATTTTGGGAATTTCTTTAGATACCTTACATATTAGTAGGCACTTTACTTGCTTATGAGATTACTTTAAGAAAACAAGAGCCCCCCAGATATGGGTGTTTACTTTCCCTTTGTGTGTACCAACACTCTTACAACAATATTATTAGAGCATCTACTGTGCCTCTAAAAAACATGAAAAGCTGTGGGATTCCGTGTGAAGACCCTGACACCCAAATCACTTGACGTATCTCAAAGCCATGCTGTAGGTAGCATTCTCAGATTAACAGGGGAATAACTTCCAATGTCTAGCAAAATTTACAGATGCTTGCATTTTATATCTCCATGACTTTGTTAACCTGCATTCCCTTTGCCCAAAATACCTTTCTTCCCCTTCTCTGCCTGGCAAAGACATGTGGTCTTCCAAGTCTCAGCTCAAGCATTACAGAATGCTGCAGAAAGCTGCCCCTACACCTTCTACCCTTACATAATATCCCATGCCTGCTGCTATTAGAGCACTTAACCACACGGTATTACGCTTGTTTCATTTGTCTCCTACCCCACTAGACAGTAAGCTCCTTGAGGATAGGAACTGTATCTTCCTCCTCTTTGTTTCCTTTAGACCTAGCTTAGTCCCTGGCACCTGATTGTTGCTAATAAATGTTTGGTGAATAAATGAATGAATGATTTTATTAAAGGTACCAATCAACTTGAAAACGTCTATACAATCATGTCTCATTATTTATGGAATCTGTATTTGTGAATTCATCTATCACTAAAATATATTTGTATCCCCGAATCAATACTTAGGGTACTTATCCCTGAATCAGTACTCAGGGCACTTCCTTCACAGACATGTACAAAGGGACTTCAAGTCCCCTAATATGCATTTCTCCAGTTGAGGTCCACATGGCAACACTGCCTTCTGCTTTCAGCTCACGTTGTTTTCACAGTGATTTTGCTCTTTAAAATGGCTCCCAAGCATAGTACTGAAGTCCTATCTAATATTTCTCAGTGCAGGGGTCCTGTGATGTGCATTACAGAGAGAATATGTGCATTAGCTAAGCTCCAGTCAGGCACAAGTTCTAGGGCTGTTGACATGGGACTTTCAGGGGGTGATAACCTAAAAGATGCAGGGCTTTTTAGGGGGTGAATAAAATCATCCTAAAATTGGTTGCACAACTCTGTCGCTATACTAAAAACCACTGAATTGTACATGTTAAATAAGTGAATTATATGGTGTGAGATTTGTATCTCAATAAAGTCGTCAGCACAACCCAAGCACACACACATACACATGCACACACAGATCGCTGGGCTAGCCTCCAGTTTCCAGTTCAGTAGGTCTGGGATGTAGTCCAAGATTATGCCTTTCTTAAAAGTTCCCCTGTGATACTGACATTGCTGGCAGGGGGACCACATTTTAAGAACCACTGTCCTAGGAATCCTGTAGAAATAGACTCAGAAATGGGTAGAGATGAGATGAGTTAAACAGTAGCCAGGACCACAAGCAAACCGTGCCCCAGAATGATAGTACTGAACACAAGGCGGCTGCTGCCACTGCGTGTGGCGTGCCACGGACTGTGTGTCCATTGCAGCAAGTCAGACTGGAACACTGCAGCCTGCCGGCACCTCTGCCACTTCTGCCCCTTGAAATAGTTTTGCTACTTAAGATTATTCAATCTATAACATATTCCTTTGGTTCAATATTACAGTGTTTTCAAGCATTATAACATTTTCAACTGCCTTTGGGTTAAAGGTACATTACCTTTAAAAAGCCTATGAAATAACTTGACTACGCTGTGATATAATTACGTGTTTAGATTGTACTGCATGCAGATTGATTGGAAAGCAATTATTTGACCTTTTTTCTCTCCTTTTTCCTATTTAGCTACGTTTCCAGGTATGTGGGAGAGGACCATAACAATCGGAAGCGCTGGAAAGACTTTTAGTGTAACTGGCTGGAAGGTAAGATCAAGAATTTAAATGCTTCAAAACCACATGTATTTTACTTCTTAGAGAGTTTTTTTTGTGTTTTCCATGTATACATACTGAGTTTACACAGGTTTTATACTTGATGATCTTCTGCTTATTATTAACTCATTTAACTTTCACGTTGGCCTTTGTCCTTTTTGAGACCTAATCATTTCTTTAAAAGTAAGAAATATTTGGTAATTTTTCATTTTATATGTAACCAACTAGTGACACTTTGTCTTTACAAAGTGTTCAGATTATTACATATTAATATAAAAGGAGAAAAATAACAATTGCTAATATTTTGGTACTTACTATGTGCCTAGTGCTGCTACATGCTCAACACGTACTGATTCCTTTCATCCTCAAAACCACATTATGAGGTGGGTATGATTTACTATCCCCATTTTACAGACAGTAACACTAAAGTACAGAGAAATTAAGTGACTTGCCTGTTAACACAGCTAATAAATAAACCAAGCCAGGGGGACAGTCTAGTTTCAGAACCCAAGCACCTAACCCACTGCCTTCTGTAATACAATAACAATGTATCCAGTTGAAAGTTGTTATCTTGCAACCTCTACTCTCCTGAGCATGGCTAAGAAAGCAGGGAGTATCAGAAAAGAGGCCTGCAGAACCAATTATAGAAGAGTCCCTTAGACCTATTTTACCTACAGCTAATCCAAACATGCCTTGTTACCAGTTTCTAGATCTCCAGAGTGTCAGAAGTAGCAAATTAGAAGAGAAGGATAATAATAATAAGGTACTGTTTACTTTCCGAAAGCAGAGTTTAGTGACTCCAGTTGGAAACTTTTCCACAAAAAGAACAATGTTGAAATGATTCTATGATTACTGTACTACTTCGGTGGAGTGAACCTTTTAGATTTGTATGCATTTGATAATTGCATTAAATTTAGATACTGTAACAGATTTGATATATACAGTTATATTCATTTTTTGAGACTTGCTTTTATTTTTTCCTTTTCCAGATCGGCTGGTCCATTGGTCCTAATCATTTGATAAAACATTTACAGACAGTTCAACAAAACTCTGTTTATACTTGTGCAACTCCTCTACAGGTGGGTGTAACTTTGGTTTGAAGCATGGTCTTTTGATGAAGATGTTATTTTTATGTTTTAATATTTGAAATGGCTTGGTTCTTTCCTTCATGACCTTTTTGAGCAAGGCTTCTAATATAATATGGGAGTTTAAGAGCAGACACATACTCTTTATCTATCAAGAAGAGTTTGTTGGGTCTTTTTAAATATAAAATATCCTAGCTTTGAATGCTCATACATTGCTAGCAGGATTACAAACTGCACTCTGGTGGACAGTGACAGCACTGAGCACCCTCCAAAGCAGCGATCTATCTTCTGGGAATTTACCCATAGCTGTTGCCTGCACATGTAAGACACTCTCTGTGTACATGGCTATTCATTGCAGAAAATAGGGAATAATTTCTAACCATCTACGGACAGTTGTTTAAATAAATCATGGTCTATCCAAGCATTTAAATATTATGTGACTATATTAGTTTCCTATTTCTTTGTAGCAAATTACCACAAATGTAGTGTTCATATCAGCAAAAAGCACAGAGGCTTGAATGAAATGATCAATGGAAAAAGGTAGCTGGGAGCCAGGCAAGATGGAGGGCCAGAGTAGGACTATGCTTGTGACTGCCAAGACTGAACGAGATAGGAAGCCACTGAGGGTTCTGAGCACAGGAGAGACAGGATATAACTTGTGTTATCAAAGGGACTCTGACTGCTTTGTTGAGTCAGAAGACTATTGATCCAGGAAAGAGACAGCACTGGACTGAACTAATATAGGGACAGTAGAAGTGGTGGGAAGTGACTGGGTTCTGAATATATTTTTAAGGTAGAACTAACTGTATGTACTGATGAGTCACATGTGGGATATGAGAAAAAGAGAAGAGTCTAGTATAATTCTGCTGTTAGGAGGGATGTTATGTCTTCTGGGCTTGGAATTTTCTAGGGCAATATCTCCTAATATAGGGGATGAGTAAGTTTCTGAGAAAAATAAAAATTCCAGGTAAGAATTTGGAGCATCTCTTTCTGAACTATCTGATTCTGTACTCCAGCGAAGTACCTGTTTCTTTTCATGCCCTCTAACAACCATATTTGGAAACCAGCCCATGCTTCCGGGGAAACCACAGAAGCTCGCTTCTAATCCCTGTGGCACTGAGACTACTTTCCAAGGGTATCAATGGTTAGAACAGGGATTTGCACACCTCCAGGGAATGACACACTGGTCAGCTTCCATCCCCACCGCATCCCCCAGGGTAACTGGGAAAGCCTGGCTGGCTCATCATTTCTTTGGTCACCCGTCAAACTTACATCTACTGAGTCATTCTGCAGCTCACCTCAACAAAGAATACTGTCTTTTCATTTGCAAGTAAGTCATCTTTATATAAAGCCTCTTTTTCAACTTGGATTTTCATGGCTCACTCTCAGTTCTTCACATTAAATTTAGTCACTTACATGTCACTTGATTTTTCCATTAATCAATACAGTTTAACATGGGTTCATAGGAATTCAGCTGTGATTCCCTGAATGACATTTTTGCCAATATTACTCAGTCTTTATTTATAATACCAATAGACTCAGCAATAAATAACATTACCATATTTCCTTTCCACATTTTTCAATCTTAACATGCAGGAAGCCTTGACTCAAGCATTTTGGATTGATATCAAGCGCATGGACGATCCGGAGTGTTACTTTAATTCTTTGCCGAAAGAGTTAGAAGTAAAAAGAGATCGGATGGTACATTTGCTTGAAAGTGCTGGCCTAAAACCCATAGTTCCTGATGGGGGATACTTCATCATTGTCGATGTGTCTTCCCTAGGTTTGTAAAAATTTGTATCATTTCAAATACAAGGGAACTTCTATGTGAAACTATATCAGAGTTAGGGAGAAAAGATTGGTGTCATAACTGTATCAGCATTTTATCTGTGGAAAAATGGATTTTTACAATGTCAGTATTTTTCTACAGTCTTGACTTTTAGGTTGTTGACCTTGTATGTGACTCAGATGTTACATGGTTATGGGCCAGTTTTCCTAGGTGTTCTGTTAAATACAGACTTTGTTGTCATCTTGTTCAGGTGTGTGATTTAGAACATAGGCACATGAAATGATATATGTACCCTGTGTTCCTAAGGTTTTAATTTCCTTTTTTAGTTAAGAAAAATAAGATTTCTAGAATGTGGATGCTGCAGGGATATTGGCCATTTTAGAATACACTGAAATGAAGTAAAGAAGGAAAATAATTTTGTTGAGGGTCTCCATGCCTAGCATTTCCAAACACCATTCTGAAGAAAGTGTTGTTAGCTCCATTTTTAAAGATGTGAAGACTTAGCAAGTTTGGAAATCACTTTTCCTATATTGGGCCTAAAAGTGCAGCTTATTTCATGAAATGGCAAAAAGAAATAGCAGTTTTCATCACTTTTATAATTTTTGCTTTTGAATTGGAAATCCACAAGATTTTCAACATGAATTATTTTGTTTAAAATACTTGAAATGCTTCCAAAAGGAATTTAAACTAACTCATATTAAAAGTTTTCTATGCAATAATATATAAATATAAATGTTTATATATAATAAAAAATCAATGTCACATAGGAGAGGAAGCAAATATTTCAGTCATATAGATTCTTATAGTATTGTAAATAGCATTAACTTGAGATCAAATTTCATGGTAGCAAATGAAAATAGAAAAATGAAATTAGTTACGTAATTCTTGGATAAAAAGAAAGCTAACTTATTAGATAAAAATACTTTTTTCCTGGATACAAACTTTTCCAGATTGTAAATTCAGATAGTAAGAAGAATTCATGACATGATACTCAACATCAAAAGGACAATGATGCAACTTTCATTTGAATGATGGCATTAAGCTCTTAAATAGTTTCTCATTTTATCTTAGTTGATCTATCTTATTTATACTATTTGTTTAGTTCTTAGATCTTAAAGTGATGTGGTTGTAAAAGAACAGAAAGGACTTTGGTTAGGAACCTTTTGTGATGATGGGGGAAAAATGTCCCTTTTTCGTGGTCCTCCTTCACCTGTGGAGGGAAAATGTTAATGTCCATAAGACCACCTACATATGAGGACAAGTTCATTTTATTTTACTCTTTCATCTGCTCAGGTTAGTTTGAATGTGGACATTCTATATACTACCATCATTTCTAAAGATAAGCAAAAAACAAAACTTTCATTTGATAGTACTGTGAAAATAAGCCATTAATTTCATGAACATAGTTATTACTTCCTTTTACAATTTGTACCAGTGGCTAACTGGCCAATATTTTTGAGCATTTATGACATAGTGGGTATTATGTTAAGAGCTTTACAAATGTCATGTTCTCACAAAAGCCCTATGAGATTGGTGCTATATCCTCATTGTTAGATGAGAAAAATAAGACAGAGAATGGAGAAATTTACCGAAGTTTATCAACTAATGAGTAGCAGAGCTGGGCTGTGAGCCCAGGAATCCATGTCCTAATCAGTGAACTTACCATTTTTCTGCTATACTAAGTAGCTTTCCAGACCAGTGAGCTTCATCCTAGAACTGTAAAGGGAAACATTTGATTAGAAGACAAGATGACAGATAGGGAGCTATTACAGTTGTTCTAGTGAGATGAAAAGGTCTAAAATTATGGAGGAGATAGTGGGAATGTAAAAACTAATTTTGATTTTCATAGGTTATTTAAATATGCAAATGCTGTTATATGTTTCAAGCTCCTACCTTTAAATAAGAAATATTTTGTTTGGTTCCTTTGAGGATCTCTGACTCAAGCATTAAAAGAAATAGATTGCAGCTTTCTTCTAATTATAAAATATTTAGAAATGTATTTATTCCCTTTTCTTTTGAGCACTATGGTAATAAATTCCTCTTTTTAAAGCTTTATAAGAATAAATGAGTAGTACAGCGGTGTCAGTTACAGTTAGTTACTACTTTTCTTCCTTATGCTGCTACAGGTAATCACTCCTTTCTCGAGGTTACCTTTGAACACACTACTATCATGTACTTGTCACAAGGAATTTTCACATACTTTAGTTAGACTTTAACTTTTTTAAGTAGTCATTTTTGCTAGCACCAAACCTGACTTAAACACGCATACATACATATAACTTGAAATAATAATTTAAGTTTTTCCTCTGTAAAGTGAAAATTGTAGCTACTTCTCATAATTATAGGACAAGTAAATGAGAAGATAATATAACATGCTTAACAATTAAAGAGTAAGTGCTCAATAAATGGTAGTATATTATTAGCATTATTATATGGAAATCTCACATTCTTAAAGCACAAAGGAGAATGGAAATAAAATTAAATAAAACTATATATTAAGGCTTCTTAAAGAATACAGGTGAAAGTTTCTTCAATGTCAAGGTTTTTACACTATTAATTTGAAGAGACCCAATAGTATTTAGTGAGTAAAAGAAGATAACTGACTCAATTTATTTTGAGCAATAAATTGTAAAATTTCATTGATCACAATAACTATCAATGTTAGTTGCTTTGGAACATTCAAAAATATCTAAAAGTATAAGTCAATAAATTTGAAACAATATGAAATATAAATTCTCAAGCTGAGTGCCAGAGAAATATCTGGCCCAGACCTTAAAGCAAGATTGGAGCAAGAGATAAGAATAGGAATGCATATTTGAAGTTTTTCCCCCAAATTAAACTAAAAAATAAGAGCTTACTATATGGAAAAAAGAGAAAAACAGTAAGAATATCACTTGGGAGATCTACACAGACATTCTCCCTTTATTAATCATGGATAATACTAATTTATTTATTCAACAACTAAGGCTTTTATTACTTACATATGAAATACTGTCCGAAGAGTTGGAGATAATGATAGGTTGAAATACAGACACCTTACCTTTGTAGGGCTTACAATCTAATAGTGAATGACTATTTTGGAGACGTAATTATTACTGATGAATGCTCTATAAATTTAGGTGTTACTTCATTAATAGTGATCATAGTCTTATATTATTTCTAGAGGGAGAGGTAACACTCCTCTTTCCTTTCCCTTTCCTACTCTCTTCTAGTGCTAAATGCTGTATGCACAAATATGATCACCCAGATGTATATGTGAGTACTGCCTTAGAATAGCAATAAAGCTTGTCTATGAATTTCTCACTTCCCACACCATGCAGTATGAGACTTCAGCAAATTCTGTGAATATCTTCTGAGAAAATTTTAAGTCTCGATCGACTTAAATGAAATACATGTTGCCTCAGATACAATACATAGGTCATCTAATTTTCATTCTTGTTTTAGATGTAGATCTCTCTGATATGAAGAACAGCAATGAACCTTATGACTACAAATTTGTGAAATGGATGACTAAAAATAAGGTAACGTTTATTGGCCTTTGCAATATTGTATTGTATTTTACAGTTAATTTATAAAGGAAACTTGCTAACATGGTTTGAATAATGTTAACAGTAGTTTTGCATATAATATTAAACTCCTGGCTATCTGAAGGATTTTGAAAACACTTTTCTTTTTGGAAATTGTTGTGAATATTTATAAGTATCTATATTTGTTTCTAATGTTTATGGTCATAAAGTTAGTATCTGAAGTATAAGTAGTTTTCCTATTTTGTCTTCCTTTTTTTTTCAGAAACTATCAGCAATCCCAGTTTCAGCATTCTGTAATGCCGAGACAAAATCACAATTTGAGAAGTTTGTGAGATTTTGCTTTATTAAAGTAAGTTCCCTGTTCTATTCAAAAACACATTTATAATGTCCTTTCTATTGATTTATAAAGCATATTTTTTTCTATTGCTAGCCATGATGTACTTATATGCAGTTTTTAAGTTTAGGCTTGCTACTATTAAATGAATTGCCTACCACAGCAAAACTCAAAACTCCTTGAAGTGTTGAGTTTTCTAGATTACAGTATAATTGGTCTCCATACCATGTAACATTACAATGTCCAACACGCAATCAAAAATTAATAGACATGTGAAGACACAATTATGTGATTATGTGACCATTAATAAAGAGAAAAGGCAGTCAATAGAAACAGATCTCAGGGTAACCCAGATGTAGGAGTTAGCTGATAAGGACTTTAAAGCAGATATTATAAATAAATTCAAGAAATTAAAGGAGAAATATGGTCATAATGAGTGAACAAATTAAAACCATAAAAAGAAAACCAAGAGGATATTCAAAACTTACAAGTGTAACTGACCCTTGAACAATGTGGGTTTGAACTGCAGGCATCCACTTACATACAGATTTTTTTTCTCAATAAATATATTGGAAAAATATTTGGAGATAGACAATTTCAAAAAACATTTTCTTTTCTGTAGCTAACTTTACTGTTAGAATATAGTATATAATACATATCACATACAAAATGTGTTAATCATCTGCTTATGTTATCAGTAAGGCTCCCAGTCAGCAATAGGCTATTAGTAGCTAAGTTTTTGGGGAGTTAAAATTTTAGAGATTTTTTACTGCAGTGAAGGTTGGTGCCCTTAACCCCCCTGCATTGTTTAGGGTCAGTTGTGTAATATCTGATATGAAAAATGTACAGAGCTTAAAAAGTGTAAACAGGCCAAATGTGTTATATCTATACAACAGAATATTACTTAGCCATAAAAAAGAATGAAGTACTGACACAATATAGATAGTTGTTGGAAACATATACTAAGTGAGTGAAGCCAGACACAGAAGAACATATATTAAGTAAGTCCATTTATATGAGATGTTCCGAATTGGTAAATCTGGACACAAAATGCAGATTAATGGTCACCAGAGTCTAGGGCTTTAAAGGGGGAAATGGTAAATGGCTGCTAATGGGTATCAAGTTTCTTTTTAGATGATGAAAATGTTCTGAAATTAGATAATGGTGATGGTTGCAGAACCTTGTAAATGTAGTGGAAGCCATGGAATTGTAAACTTTATAACAGTTAAAATGGTGAATTTTATCTCAGTTAAAAAAAATTTTCTGAAACCAGAAAAAAAAAAAGTACCAAATGATAGATAAAATTTAATCATAGATAAAGCCAGTAGTCATTACTCAAAACAATAGAAACTTACAAAGAATTCAATAAAAAATGAGTAATAGAAAGGAACCAGCTATGAGTCTATAAAAAGATACTATGCAGAAAAAAAGAGAAAGGTACAAGGAAAAACAGGTGTCAGAGGAAAACTATTCAGCAAGAAAAATGTTGTCATACAAATTGAAGGGAAAAAAACGAAGCTACTGGTAATTCTATTGACACTGGAAACAGCACAAAGAACACTAATTCCTTTACAGGAACACTGTAAGCACATTAAGGATTGAGAAAAATGAGCAAAAAGAAGTAGAAAAGAACAAAGAATTAAAAAACATTAGGAGAAGAATTACAGATGTGGAAAACAAATGAAACATGTAGACTCCCTGTGGGCAGTGGGGAAGGTCAGGGAAGGCAGAACAATGGAGGTGGGAAAGAATTTTATAGCTTTATTCTGAGAATGTTTTGCATTTTAAAAAAAATCAAAAAATTTAAAGGGATAGCTTTGTTTCAAGATTCACAGAATGGTTAATTCAGCACTGAGATATACTTTCTTTACTATACTGGGCTTTAAAGATAATTATAGAAATGATCCTTTGGCTTCTAAACAAAAAGATCAGAACCTCCATGGGGGCAGGAGAGGAGGATCAATGTGGGCTCACCTCCTTCATGTCAACATTCGATATTAGAAGGTAGTGGAGCAATACTGAAAATTCCCTAGTGCACGCTGACACACCTAACTCAACCCCTTGGAAAGAGTAAAAATAAATGTATGGCAAAACATGCCAAATACTTTTCATGTTTCCCATAAACAACATTGTTCTACAAAACCACAATATAACCATCAAAATCATGAAGGTGGCATTTGCTATATCATTCTCTCTAATTCTCAGGTGCCTTCAAGTGTTTCATTAATTGTCCCAATAAAGTCCTATTTATAACAAATCAACCAATCAGTCCAGGCCAGGCTGTGTGTAGCATGTAGTTGTGATATCCCCTTCAAGCTGGAATGGGTCCTCAGTTTCCTTTGACTTTCTTGACTTCGATAACTTTTGAAATTAATCTGCCAATTGTTTTGAAGAAAGTCCTTCAACATGTGTTTAACATACCCTCCTGGTTAGATTCAGGCTATGGACCTTTGGCAGGGAGCCACAGAAGGGATTCTCTGTTTTGTTGCATCTGTCAGGTGGCACATGATTTTAGTTTTTCCTTAAACTAAACTGGTGATGTTAACTCTAATCACTTAAAGAATGTGGTGTCTGCCAGGCTTTCTACTGTGAAGTTACACTTCTTCCCCTGATAAAATAATGAATATTTTGTGGTGAGGTAGTTTGAAACTATGAAAATATTCCATATCTCATCAAGTAATTTGTTCATGTACCTAAAATTCATTCATTTATGTATGGACTCATGGATTCCTGTTTTATGCAATGGGTTATAATATCATTATTGCTTAATTTGATGTTCAAATTTTCTCAGATGTGGCCATTAGGAGCCCCTTTAAGCTGCCTTCTGTTTCCTTTGATATGTCCCCATCATTTTTGAGCATTTCCTTACTTTCTGGCAGAGCAAGACGCAGCAGGTTCATCTTGTCATTATCTACCACAATCCAGAATCAGCTTCCATGGAGAATGCTAAGAACTGGGCATTAGGAGTACTCGTTACTTTTAGGGTATTAGTGCTTACCGGTGGAGAGAGGTAGGGAATACATGAATGTCTATACATACCTACACACACTGTACATAAATACACATATTTACATCTGCATTTATTTCTGTGTCTCTCTTAATTGAAACCACCATTGGATTTATTTTAGCTCTCTCCCTTTCCGTATTGTAACTTCCTTCTCTGATGGTGAAGAACCTGTCTCTCAGCATGTGATCCCTTCTTTAATCAGTGCCTCTGTACTTGACTTATCTCCTGTCAGTGCCACTGCCCCTCTATCCACCACCCCTGGCTGGTGGTGCCCTTTATCCCACTCAGGCTTTGATGCTCTGTGCCAGGGTGCTGTGCTCTCACTCTCACACAGAGGTGCTCTCCTCTGGCTCTCTAACACAGCACACCAGGCTGTGGCTGGCACCCACTGCACAGAAGCCCTCATCGCTTGTGGGTTCTGACACCCATGTCAGTCTGCATAGGCCATGCCTGCATCTTCCTTTCCAAGTGCCAGCAACCTGCATGGAGCCACCTGCCCTACAGATACCTTCCTCTCCCTGCTTGAACTCTCCTGTCCTATTCAGAGCCAGCACCCCCACTGCCATCCCTGCCACATCATGCCACCCACACTGGAAACCCTCCTCACTGCACTGTGGCTTAAGCATGCTGAATCAGGCTGCCAAGGAGCCAACCCACTGCCCTGCCCCCATACATCAGCACCTACTTCAGTCAGCCCCACCAGATGGCTTTTGGACTAAAACATTCTGTAGAGGGAAGAAAAAGGGAAAGAAGAAGTAGAGAAAGCAGAAGAGAAAGAACAAGAGGCTTGATTTTCACTGTTTACCCATCAATTTAATTTTATACCATATGCATTTATTGCCTAGTTATTATAACAATGAAACTTTGATAGAAGGGGTCAGAATTGTGTGAATGAACTAACTTTAACACATTCAGAGTAGAGAATGGTGAATATTGTCCAAAGCTGATAAATAAGGAAATAGGACCATATGCATTACTTAGCTTTTGGTAGTAAATCACAAGAACTAAAACCAGAAATTATCATAAAGGTTGTCTTGGGGAATGGCAGGTGGAGTAGGGAGCAAATGATTATTTTTCAGCATAAGCTCTTCTATACTCTTTGACTTGTTTCTGCAATTATATGTCAATTGATTGTTTTCTTTGTGGAGATCTGCCTTTATGTTTTTACTTTGAAAAATTCTCAATTGAGATCAATCAATAGAGATCTTGCTGCCCACACATCCCTAGTCTGAAAGCCTTCATAGTTAGCAGTGACCACAGCAGCTGTGAGCCATGGAAAACATGCATTTATTCTTCCATTCTTGCTCCACCTGGCGTCCTGGGTGTGTGGTGGGAGCTAAGAGAGGGGCTTTCTTCTGTGGTCTAGAAGCCTCTTTGAAAGACATCTCTGATTTTGCACACTTCATACCCAAATGGATAAAAGTAATAAATGTCGATCCCACTGGCATTTCCTTCAGAGTCTGCACCTGTGTTAGTGTTATTTATGAGTCAGAGTCTTCTTTGGCCCTGCGGGTCACCCAGTCTGCCACAAGTGGTTATGAATAGTGAGTGTCCACATTGATGGACATGATTTTCCTGGGATCAGGTTAAACTGTTTTTAATCTGAGCTGTATTCATACCATTTGCCCATCATTTTCTTGGTGATACTCTTTGGGCCCATGCCAGTTAATTCGTACATTCCATTAGTGTCAGGAGAGTAGCAATAAAGTGTCCTGAACTGGCAGCCAGCATCACAAGATCATATGTAGTGACTGTCCTCACACTTCCCCAGCTCCTCTTATTTTGAATCCTTGTGAGGTTCATTCCCTTTTCCAGCCAGACAGCAGTGGAATATAGCATTATAAATAACTGTTTGTCTCATTTGTCTCACTTGCTGCTGGGCTCCTTACAGAGCTTAGGCCCGGTTTACTGGACCATGGAGGCAGGGGACGATGCTGTGGGTACCGTTCCCCAGGCTCTGTCTAGGCTTCTGCTGGGGCTGCAGCTTAGTATAGCCAAGGCTTCCAGTGGATCAACGCACTGGGAAGGCATGACCCCCCCAGCAAATGCTCAGGCATGGTCATCACTGGGGAAGCCAATGACAGGCTGCAACCCGACGCCCTGGCTCGTGGTTCCCAAATCACTACATGACTTATTGATATACTACTGACTTAGGTATCTTTTTCTATTTAGATCTTTACTTCATCTTGAATTTATTCTGGTATGTGATGGCTATTTCATTTGTTTACAGAAAGACAGTACACTGGATGCTGCTGAAGAAATCATGAAGGCATGGAATAGAGAGAAGTGTTGATGTACACAGACTGGTTTCTATTGGATGACCTAGTGGGAAATTGTCATTTGGTGCTGCCACCTGCAGGATACTGAAAAATATGTCTGTACAAAGGCAATTTAAAGACATATTTCCATTGTTTTTCCGAAGTTAATCCCACTACTAACACTATTCAGGTGATGGGTCCTTTTTTTCCCTTTCAGTTAAGATGTATTAAAACACTTTCCACTACCATTTTATGAAAGGACATGTTGCATGGTGAATGGGGACTGTGAAAGACTTGTCGATGCTTAACTTCTCTGTGCTTCTGTTTCCTAGTCCTAAAAGGGCAATAAAAACTAGCATCTACTTTATGTGAAGTTTGTGAGTTGTTTGTGAGAATGACGTGTAAAGTGTGGCAAACAATGAACACTAATGTTAGTCGGCTTCACTTCTCACCATTGTGTAAGAACTCTGCCAGTTTCAACTCCATTTCTTCTCTGCCTCTACCCACCTCTAGTCTCCTCCCGTTCATTTACCAATGGCTTTGACCTTTGCTCACAGTTTTGCCTCTCTGTCCTAGTATTGTCATTATTGGGGTTGGCTTCAAGGTCCATATGGATTATGTATATTTCAGTACTTTGCCCGCCTCACCTCTGCTGCTGTTCACCTTCACTCCATCTCTGCTGCAGCCCCCGGCTTCCTTGTGCACACCCTTAACCTTTCAGTATTCAAGCCTGTTCCACCTTTAAGATAGTAAATTAGTCTTCTCACGGTGACAGTCTATCCTTACAGTATTCTCTCTCTCACCTCCTCACAAAATATCTTCTTTAATCACTATAATTTCAAATCCACTATTTGTCAGAAAATGGTCTGTGGCCTTCTTACATCACAATCAGAATTGATCTATGAAAATAGATTTTGGTCTTCATCCCAGAACTACTGAATAGTAATTTCTGGATCTGGCCCTTCCTAGGGATTCTTATACCCATTGAAACAATCACTGCTGCCTCATTTTTATCCCCGTCAGTCCCCTTATATAATCATCCTAAATCATCCATCTTAGATTTCGTCATCATCATCCATCACCAGCTAAGATACTTTTGCTGCCTTGAATAACTTGCCCATTGCCCTATCTCCTACATGGGCAAAAAGCCTCTCGCCTGGGGCTGAAGCTCCATGCTGGCAGCTGGGCTGCTGCTAACTGCTGTCGCAGGTTCTGACAACTGAATGCACATCACTGACCTTACCAGACTTAATTCTTCTATGATACCCAATAAGTCTTCTACCTTTTACCTCAGTAGCAATTCCTAATATTCTCCCATTCTACACAATAAAAATATCCAACCTTTCCATTCTCACACCTCAAAGCCCACCACCAGCACAATTAAATCATAGCAAATGACCTCATCTACCACATCTATGAAAAACAAAACAAAGTGAAAAAACAACCTACCAGACCAGCACTCCCAACTAAGATCCTAGCAATAAGCCTATGGTTTACATGCATCAGCATCCATCCTTCAGTTCCTTCTGGGGGTGGGAAGCAGAGTGGTGGGTATGCAGCAGCAGGCCCAGCTGTGCAGTTTCTCTAATTTCTGTGCCCTCTGGAGTGAGGGCTTCCATGTTTTGGTCCAACAGTGAGGCCTAGGGCTGGTCCATAGGGAACTCTGGGTGAACCAGGGACAGAGGTTACCATCCCTTCCACCTGGCTGGGATTTTAGGAGAGCCGACATGGAGAGGAGGAAGGCATGGCTGTGAATATGGGGTCTGCCAGTGAGTGATGCAGTACTGGACAAAGGAAAGTTGTCAACTTTATTGGGACCTTAGAGGCCAAGGCCAGACCTGAGGCCTCCAGATGCCTAACTAGCTATCCAGGCCTCACTGAGGTTAGAGACAGTGTAAATTGTTACAGTGGGAAACCCCAAGGGGTTGGACAGAGGCACCTACGAGGAGCTAAGACTCCCTGAACAACAGCACCAGCATCGGCTCTGGCTGCTTTGCCCCCTCACACCAGCACCTACATCCTTGAGTTGGGTTGGTTCCCCTGGCAGTCACTGTTGATGCTGCTGCTCAAAGTACTTGGCTCCTCAGTTTTTAAATCCTGTCTTTGCATTCATCTAGGCTGAGGTTTCCAACCTCTTTCTCCCTCACTGAAAATTGGGCACTTGGTCATCTCAAAGACCTCAACCTTTCTTCCCCTTTTCTGCTGTTGAGAGTGCATTCCTTGCACACCTCTTGAAAGGACCCCAGGTTCTGAAAGTTCTTCAATCTTCTCAAAGCATCACTCTGGCTGCTATGTTGAGAACTGACTGTAGAGGCAGCAAAGGTTGAGGTGTGGAGACCTACTACAATAATTTGGGTGAAAGATAACAGAGGTGGCTGTGGAAGGTAAGAAATGGTCAGATTCCTGATATCTTTTGAAGGCAGAGACAACAGGATTTGCTAACAGAGTTTATGAGGACAAGAATGAGTCCAGTTTGGGGCCAGGGCAACTGGAAGTATTGAGTGCCAATGAGACAGGGTTGGTGGGTGTAGTCAGAGTAGGGTGAGGGCCTCCGAGAAAAGCAGGGTGAAATATTTACAGTCAAAGCAATGTAACAATGGGTAAAGAAGTCCCCATTGAAACTCTGTTCAGCATTATGCAAAGTCAAAGTCACACTAATTCTCTAGGGAAAGATACCTAAGAATATAGACATCTTTAGTGAGGTCAGTTAAAGGTTAAAAGGCCAGAAGCAACTTGGCCTGGAATGTTTGAGTGTTCTGCAAGGGTATCAGCATAACCCATGACTCCACTGTCAGCCCTGGCAATCAGACTATGACCCGGCCCACCTTGAGGACAGGGCAGGTGATGCAAGTCCACACCCCTAAGTTTTTTTCATGTTCTCGAAAAATCCTCAACTGCCTATAAAACCCCCTGGACAGCGCACCAGTATACGGGCTCCCTTGTCCCCTCCTGGAATGCACCAGGAGCTCTATTCTCTCACTTTGTTCCTAAATAAAAGCCTCTGCCCTTGCTCTCCTACCTTGAATGTTTGTGAAGCTCATTCTTTGGCTTCGTGAACAAGAATCCCAGCACCACCATCACTGAGGTGGAGAGGCTTCTGGAGGAGCAGGCTTAGGGGAAGATCAGGAAGCCAGTTTTGAGCACATTAAGTTCGAGATGCTTATTCAAACTTGAGGTGGAGATGTTGACTAGGCAGCTGGATTTTCAACTGTGGAGTGTAGGAAAAGGCTGGAGATATATATATATATATATTTGAGAGTCTGCAGCATATCAATGACATTTAAAGACATCAGAGTAGATATATCACCAAATATGCCAGGATTAGCAACAAGAAGAGGACTGCTGATTTAGCTGTGGAGTTTTGAGAAATCTTCCTGCAAAGTGGAATACCTCTTTGAAAGAGTTTTTCACACACACACACATGTCCCTTGCTTACCCGCAACTCTCTGCAATCTGGATTCCAGACACAATACTTTTCTAAGTTCTCTAAAGACCTCCACGTTCCTAGATCTGAATGAAACTTCCCCGTCCTATCTAACTTTGCCTCTTAGTATTTAACCACTGCAGACCATCTTGGCCTCCTTAAACCCTATACTTTCTTGTTCCTGTGACACTGGGCATCTGTGAATTGCCTCCCACCTCTCTGGCTGCCACTTTCTATTGAATTTCAGAACAATATATCTGTAAGTCTGCGGAGAGGAAATCCTGGGGCAATACCTCTAAAAACCAAAATCAGTCAAAGGGAGAAATAAAGTTTAAAATCCATTTATTGCTCACAAACTGCAGTCTGAGGCCAGTTTCTCTCTTCCCTGCTCCAGCAGAAGTCAAAAACCAGCCATCCCCCTCACCTCTCAGGGACAGATAAAGCCCTCCTTGCCCAAGTAATTACCCATTGATATGGAGATGAACTTCTCTCCCCAACTGAGGAATGATACAAATGCACTAAAGTCATACTTTCCACTTCTGAATGCCTACTGATATGCAGATGAACTAAAGCCAGGGGAGATATTCTGGAAATGTTAGTTTTACCCATAGGCCACCCCTCCAGAAATCTTGCCTTACAGTGTACTCGTTCCCCTTCTTCTGACCAATCTAGTAACATACAATAGCAATAGCAATAAAATCTTAATAATCCTCAAACCAGAGGATTCAGCCTATGCAGATTAAGTAAATGTATTTTACAGCACAGTCTCTCACTAAGCACAAAATGTTTCTACACTTGTTTACTCATTCCTAACAACCATGCTAGATTGCTCACAAAACTTTTACCAAACATTAGACAAAGTCAAGCCTCTCTTTAAGCATTTTTTTCTTGACAACAACAATGCAATCATAATTCTCAAGCCAGAGGATTCAGCTAGGTTCAAAGTCCCATGCAGATTAAGTCCAAAACTCGTCCATTCCAGCCATCACACGGCAGCTGCAGCCAGGGGGTGCATCCAGGACACAAGGACTGTAGAAGCAAATAACCGTGATAGTGGGGGATCACTTTGCTGTTATTCCAGGAATACACAGTTGGACAGCTTCCAGGCCTTTTCCCCAAGATGCCAGAAGAGCTAGCCATCACCAGTCCATGTGTTGAAATGTCCAGAGCCATGCCCATTTTATTCCTAATTGCTGCACCCATCCTTGTAACGCATGTCCAATAAAGTGGGTGCCTTGATTGCTTTCAATCACTGGCGACCGGAAATAGGCTACAAAGAGATTCTCTAGGCCCCCTCTTGGTGGCTTGCTGATCTGCACAATGTGCATGGCTCTCCCTCCGAGCTTGGCTGACTTCTTCAAAGGTCAATGACAAGCCCCACCGATAGGCTACAGCCCACATTGTCTCTTGCCCCACATGCAACAGATGCTGATGTAGCCATTGGGCCACATCAGAGGCAGGCTCTCCTTCTAGCCAGTGCACACAGGCCAATGTGTCTGTTTCATCATTCCCTGGGGATGCAAAAGGCAAATGGCTGGTCACATGATATACAGTAACTGTCTTAGTCTGACCAGAGCTCTTGCCACAACTCTTGCCCCCAAAGGTGCCTGTGACCAACCATCCAGTTGTCATGATACCATGTCAGTAGCCACAGGGTCAAGCCCTGATAGACGGCCCAGCTGTCAGTGCAGACAACTATGGGGGAAGGATCCTGGGTGATTATGAACCATACTGCCCACAACTCAGCCCATTGACTACTCTTCCCCTCTCCATCCTCCATCCGTATTGTCTCAGTCTCAGGATGGAAAGCCATAGCCTTCCACTTGGGGGACTGCCCAAGACTGGAGCTGTAAAGACCTCCATGTTTCTAGATTTGAATGAAACTCCTCAGTCCTATCTGACTTTGCCTCTTAGTATTTACCACTGCAGACCATCCTGGCCTC